CCCACCCAGCGAAGGTGGACAGCGGCACCGCTCCACCCACCCACCGCGAGAGGACGGGAGACAGCGGCCTCTGCCTCACCCAGCCCTAGCAGCTCAGCCCCCCGTCGCCGGCCCGCAGCTCCTTACCTGCCCCGCAGCTTTTTTTGGGTTAACCCCGGCAGCCGCTTCCTGCGCGTACCCTTCCGCCAGCGCCGCCACGCTTCCGGGCCCGCTTCCGGCGCCGGGATAACCCGCCCTGCCGCCATCTTGGAGCAGCCCTTTACTGCCGACATCTTGAGTGCGGCGTCGCCCAAGGGGCCGCCATATCGGTGGCGGCTGCCCGGCAGCGGTGGGTGGTCTCTCGCAGCCCACGGAGGGAGCCCCAGCGCGGCTTGGCCGGCCCGATGTGTGTCAACAGGCCCAGTGATAGAGCAGAGATCCCCCTGTCAGACCCTTGAGAGCATTAAGTGTCAGCTGAAGTACAGTGACATAAATTGGGGTATTTTGAAAGAGAAGGAACTGAGGAAACCCTGAAACATTGGTGAGGGTTCTGGCTGAACAGCAGCAACCACACGTGGCAATGTACCCCTGAAGCGTGGATTAAAACAGCTCACAGGCCACAGTGAGACTCCAAGGTCCTTTTGTACACATACAGAGAGGAATATAATTTATAAAAACTATACCCCAACTCGGAGTTTGTATGAACTGAGAGGTGGTAGCAATACCTTGCCTGCAGAGGCTTTACCCCAGCCCCAAGAATCTGGTAGTTGCTTTTTCCAAAGTGTATGTGCCGCATTCTGTGAGTGCATTTAGACCATCTTTTCATCAGTGCACTGGATTGATCTCAGTAGAAATAATTTACTGAACATCTTGGAGGCACATTTCCTGCAAACCCCGAAGCCCATTTATTACTGAGCATATTATTTGTGGTTTACTGTCTGTGAAAGCCAGCGTGCAAAGTGTCAGTCACTGGTTTAATGATCATCTCAGAACAATCTACAATGTGCTCTGGTGAAATATGAAGGAAGTAACAAAATAAATAAATTTTTAGTTTGATTCTGCAGAATGAGCAGAGTGAGTCACAGAGAAGCTATTGGGAAAACCCACATATGCAAGGAAGCACTGAGGCCATCTCTTCTGAAGGATCACACAGCAAATGCATGCAGTAGCATTCACATTTAGTCTGATGTTACTCTTATTTACCTCAACTGTGAAATGGCTTCAGGAAATGCTGTGTGGTCGGCTAACAGTCACCAAATGCACCTCTCCTCTCCTTTAAGAGGGTCTGGAGTCTGTTAAAACAACAGGCCTAAGAGGCTGTGCTGCAAGACAGAATTCAAAAATAAAAACAGCTTCTAGAAATAAAAAAAATTCTTAGTCAGGTATATAACAGAAAAATCAAATCATACAGCACCTCAGTATCTGCACTTTTCCCTCAGGCAGGCAGGGGCGAAAGGCAACAGATACAGGGTTGCTATTCTGTGATTTCAGAGATTTACAAAGGGAGCAAAGGAAGCTGTGTCCTCCCTTGAGCTTTTGCATTTTTTTCCTGCTCAGACAGGAAAACTATGATGAGCATTGGAGTCAGAAGAGAGCTGTAGTTGAAGGTATATTTGGAGTTGGGAGGTGGAAAGAAATTCACAGCCCCCTGCTTCAGGATAGATAGGGTTAGGATTGGGGTAGGGGCAATGAGGGCCTTCATGGCTGGAATTAAACTGGGGTCCTGCTCATCGTGGGAGACAGGCGAGGGCTGGGGCCATGACCAGCTGTAATGCAATGCTTGCTGGGAACAGGGAAGGAACTCCCTTGTTTTGTCATTCCCCTGTTCAGAAGGGTGTGAGTTCTTCCCTATCAAGATCCTCAAGCTCTCCTGTAAAGTCAGGCTGAAGTGTTGTCTGTGGCAGTAACTGCAGCTTTGGTCCTTGCAATGGTGGGCTTGTTCGCTGCAAGAGTGGAAACCAGCCACAAGAGCGGACACAGCAGCAGCATCAAACCTGTCCTTCTTTTGTTATGCTCTGTGTCATGTGAAATCATCTTCCTTCCAGCTGTGCTCCGAAAGGGTAGAGGTGTGCTGGTGGGAGGCCAGCAGCTGCAGATGTGCTGTAGTTCTCCTAGGAGGCCACACCTCAGTGGCATGGATGGGAGATCAGCCTTCTCCATGCCCACATTCCTCTGCCTTCAAGTGCAGGGTCCTTCATCTGGGTTGGAACAATGCTTGTTACCGATACAGGCTAGGAGATGATGTGCTGGAAAGCAGCCCTGAGGAAAAGGACTTGAGAGTACTGGTGATACCATGATGATGAGCCATCAATGTGCATCTGCAGCCCAGAGGGCCAACCACATCCTGGGCTGCATCCAAGGAAGTGTGGCCAGCACAGTGATTCTGCCCCTCTACTCTGCTCTGGTGAGACCTCACCTGGAGTGCTGCGTCCAGGTTTGGAGTCCCTAACACAAAGAGGACATTGAAGCACTGGAGTGGGTCCAGAGGAAGGCTACAAAGATGATCAAAGAGCTGGAGCACCTCTCCTACAAAGATAGGCTGAGAGAGTTGGGGTTGTTCAGCCTGTAGCAGACTCTGGGAAGACCTTCCAGTACCTGAAAGGTGCCTGTAAGAAATCTGGGGAGGAGCTGTTCACCAGGGCATGTAGCGATAGGACGAGGGATAATGGTTTGAAATTAGAAAAGGGGAGATTTAGGTTGGATATTAGGAAAAGTTCTCCAATACAAGGGTGGTAGATCACTGGCACAGGTTGCCCAGAGAGGTGGTGGAGGCCCCATCCCTGGAGATATTCAAGGTCAGGCTTGATGGGGCTCTGAGCAACCTGATCTGGTGACATTGTCCCTGCTCACTGCAGGGGTTGGACTGGATGAGCTTTAAGGGTCCCTTCCCACCTAACACATTCTGTGATTCTGGAAGGTCTGAAGGAACATGGTCACATCTTGGTCAATTAGCATAAGGTTTCTCCGTCAAGGGGGCTGCGGTTCTTTGAGGAATCATTAACCTTTGCGAATGAGACACTAGAGCTGTCAGGCTTGTAGCTGATGCATTCCGATTTCCTGCTGTATCTGAGAATATCTAGGCCTAACAGGGGGAAGTCACCAGGTACATTAGCACAAGTAAGGATGGTAAGTTTGAATAATGTTCTCTGAAGAATATCAGAGTTAATTTCATTTAAATTCACTTTAGCATTAGTCTATTTTGTTTTACATTGATGGTTGCCTCAGTTGAATTGGAGGAAAAAAAAGTGAGACAATGATTAGAGTTGTCATAGCGATAGATGAAGTATGAAAGCCTAAACAGAACAGAAGAAAACTAGAGATAATGAGCTCCATGCCATAGAGAATGGCTGGAATTGCTTTTTTGGAAAAGATTGCAAGCCAAGCCTGCCTGTCTCACATTTCTTGACAATCATCATGATATTTTGTTTTGTTTTTCATGACAGATACATATTTTTCTCCATGTGGCTTGTTAAACCCAGAGGAGGACCCTCTCTCCTGTAAGTGAATATGTAGACTCCTTTAACAAATCTTTCTTTTAAAAAATCTGTATTTCCTCAGTCACCAGTTTCTTTTCCTGCTCTTTGGTTAACACACTATGTATGTGTTGATTGTTCTTATTACTGAAGTAGGTAGCTTTGGTACTCTGATGTTCTACATTGTAATTTTTAAAGCTTTTGGGAGAGAGGACAACATTTCTCTTTAAACAGAGCACGTGGGAGTCTGCGTATTTTGTGCAAAAGTAAGAGGATAACATTCCAATCTCCTTTACTGTTAAAAGTGTCAAATCTGTTAGGAATTTTTTTTCCCTATCTTTTCTAAGCTTACATGCTAATGTGATCAGGATTAATCTAGTACCATATCCTAGTTGTTAACCCATTCCCTTAGTTCAAGACTTGCTCTTAATCCTCTCCCATCTATTTTTCTATATTGGAGCCAGCTGAAGGGTGTTACAAAGCAAGAGATTGCCATGAAAATGCAAATTCAACAAAATCTTAAACTTTTAAGATGTCTTCTTCTTGACACATGGCTGAAATAAGGAGCACTAAGTGTTGTGAGCTTCACTGGTATTTTGGTGGGGACTTTTTTTTACCACTCCTTTTTTCAGCCACAAGTTACAGAGTCATATGCAGTAAGATCTTATGAACTGAAGATCAAATAGCTGAAAATGTCTTCTGCTTACATTCTCTAAGTTGTGACACTAAGGGCCTGTTTTTTTCCAAATACTTAGTATCATTAAAAGTTTCAGAAACACTGAATAGCTGCAGTAACTAGAAACGCTCAACAAGCTTGAGATAACCTTTGAGCTATTGACTGTAAACAGCCTGAGTGGTATCACACTGGTTTAGAGCAGGGTTAGAGCGCAGCTCTTGGGCCTGACCAGACACTGATACACCGTAACGAAGCCAGCTGCATGTAAATTGTATTCCATTATACTTCACCAGTCAGTCACCTCGTCAGTCACCATTGCTTCAATCCTGAGTCACGGGATTCTGGGCTGATCTAAAGAATGATTTATGCAATAGTAACTGTAGAGCACAGCTGGCAATTTCTCATCGTGCCCTTGATATCTTTAAGAAGGTAATTGCTAGTGTATGAGTCTGGAGACCTGGCTGTAGGTTCTGGGTCACTCATACATCTCTGATATGTAGGAGGCTTTAAACAAAGTGGCTTTGTTCCCCTGAACAGTTTGGTTTTCCAGGTCAATCTCTGAGGTCTTAGGGACAGGGTCCATCTCTCATATTGAGCATGTGGAGCACCAGTGCTCTGCGTCTGCTGTACTTACATGCTAGAACAATGATAGTAACAACAATATCAGAAAATACAGTGCAGGCTTTATGGACAAGTGAAGTGGCTTTATTTTAGCACTGGCATTTTCTTTTCTTCCAGTCCATCTGATTTTCAGGCCTGTATTTCATTACCTTATTGACCCTTACCGTGAGAGCCCTTCCTTCTCCACATATAAATAGATACACCAGCGATACATGAATACCTTTTCAGTGTAGAGTTTTGAAAACTCTAATCCTCGGTGAGTGTAAGGAGGTCTCCTCTGTTTTTCATTCAGTGCCAATATCTGGCTACCTCTGTTTATTTTCTAGCTAACAGGCTCTGAGCATGTTTCATCAGCTCACTTCAAGCTACGTGCATTTTTCCTTCCCCATATTTCTGTCATTGCTCTGTCACACAAACTTGACCGTCCAGATTGTCAAGCAGCTTCAGCATTTTCTTCATGTGTCATTTACAGCAATTTGCAAATCATGTTCTTTGCTCTGGCATGCGGCAAAAGCTGGTCTGCTTCTCAGCGTTATCTGCAGCTATAGGCCAGCACACGATGCTAGCAGGACCTGATAAGAAGCACAAGCACTCCATGTTGGAAAGTTTTGCTCTCCAGCTGCTCTCATCTAATGCTTCATGTTAGAAATTAGCAGAAACAGATTAGAGTCCCAGGGGTCTGTGGTGGACTGTTTTAGACCTCTAACTTACAGGCCTCTGACTCACTCCTGTGGATGTGCATTGGCTGCATAGGAAACTTAGTACCTTAGCTTTGGTCCACAAACATAGTTAGTCAGATTTCTCAATATACTAAAGCATATGGTGTGAATATCTGCTTAGGCTATAATGAGCCAAGCTAGAAGGCAAAAAATATCCCCAAATTGTCTGCTGGATTTTCTGACATCATGATGAAACATCAGAGTTTGGCTCTGTTTTCTCAATTTGATCTTTGTTTTCTCATTTTGATCTTTGTCAGTCAAGACACTGTCAGGACAAGATAATCTCTTGTGAGAATCTTTTTAGATTGACTATCCACAGCCACAAGCCTTTGAGCTAGGAGAAACTTTTACAGTATTACCTTGCTCATTTGCATTCCTACTCCCTAATTGCTGGGACATGGTTTCCAGATAAACAGAATTCGTGATAGTGGTGGCTTTAGTCTGTGTCCTAGGAGAGACAGAAATTTCTTCAGGTCTGAAAGCAGCCAAATTATGAAAATTGAGCAAAATAATTGATGATCATATGTAAATTACAAGATTTAAAGCTTATATAGTCTTCCAGTTTACCAGATTGATTTCATTTGAAGGAAAAGTAGAGCCAGATTGTAGGATAAATTCCAGTAACATGAGGCCATCTAGTGCATATTTTCAGTGTTACAACTTTTGTTTCCAGGCTTTTTATTTTCTGTAACTTGAGAAAGATCTCATTTGTGAGTGATAAATGCAATAAACTTGTTCTCTAGAAAGGTCAACATGAGGGGAAAAAAAGTCAATGTTTATTTTAATAACCATGCAATCTAAGTGGCTAAACAACATATCTGAATCAGAATTGTACAAAGTTAGAAGAAAAATAAGAATTTAAAATTTAGCTACAAAACTGGAAGAGTCAAAGCACTGCCTAGGAAAGCTGACACCTTTGAAAAGGAGCATCTGCAAAAGTTTTTGCATAAATGAAAGAAAACATTTCCACAAGAAAAGCAGAGGCAATGCCTGCACTGACTTTAGTCCACTAAAATCAGGCGGCATTATCAGAATATTTGAACCTTAACCATGGAGACAAATATATAATGAAGGGCTCACATGAAAACAAACTTGCTATAGGAACAGGAATGCACCTGAGAATCCTGAGGTTCTTTGCAGAGAGGACAGAAGTGTCAATCCCAGCAGTCTGGAGCAGAGAGAGGCAGCAAATGACAGAGCACAGCTGAAAATGCTTTGTGCTTTATTCACCATCAGTGGAACAGGCAGGATGAATGAAATTAAATTAAGAAATTGTGATAAGGCAGTGTAAAGCTGTTCTCGGCACTCATCTCTGTCATGCAGAATTTATTCAGCACGTCCCTGCTTGCCTCATATGTAGAGCACCTCTACTTCTCCTGCAAAGGAAAGGAAGGACATAGACATTGCAGATAGTAAGCATAATATTATGAACTAAAATCTCTCTGAAGTCCTCAGCCAACAACTTGCTAACAGAGAAGACACTAAACATTTGTAGCAGACAGGAAGGTACTGATCTGTAACAATTGTCTTTTCAAAATCTTGTATTTTATCCATAAGAAGCAAGATATTTCTATTACTATTGAATTGTTATATGATCCGATTTGGATCCAGGTGCCTTGCTAGCCCTGTGTTGCTCGTTGAACTCTTCTCTTTACTGTCCAACTTCCATAATTTCTGCTAGAATAGGAAGTTGCTCACACAAATATCAAGGTAATTTGTTTAGATCAATTGGACCTTATTGGTAGGAGAAGCAATTAGTCTATAAACATTAGGCCAAGAAGCAACACGGGAAAAAAACCCATAGCACTTAGGTGGAATGGAAATACTGGATAACTCAGGTAGTCTCAGATTTTGGCTTATTCAAGAGTAATTACATAGTATTGTACTTACAGGACTGCTTTGCAGAAAGAACATTTGTTGTTATATGTTTTCCCATCAGAGCCACAGAAAGGTTGATAGAGTCTTTCACAGTAAATGGGTCTTCCTCTCTCTAACCTCTTATATTCACTGCAGTCCACCTGCAAATACAGTATAATTTCTCTTTGATCAACCTTTCTCTCGTTCTCCACTCACCTATGGAAATAATGTCTATATTAAATTTTTGGACAACCTTGTCACCTGCTCTAGAGCAGCTTCACTTAACTGAGCATAAGCCTCAAAAAATAAACATTCTTTCTGACAGAGATGTGTGTGATGCTGCCAGTGTCAGGTACTGAGCACCTTCAGGGACTTTGCTATCTGAATAAGAATACAGACACTGGAAAAAGTACAGCCCCTTTTCCACCTACAGAAAAGTTGAGCGTTAATTTTTTTCTCCCTGATTGCAGGTGTCAGTAAATTCAGGTGAGATTAGTGAAGGGTTTCTGTTTCTTTATTGCACAACTGTCCGCTCTTGACACTTTTTACACTGGTGAAAGGACCTAATTCAAGCAGAATTAAGTAAAAAGTTCTATTTAAGTATTAGCATGAAAACAGATTGTTGAAAGGCCCTCATCTGACAGTGGAACTGTAATCATTACAGACTTCTATGTGAAAATGAGAGTACAAACTAATAAAGGAAATGACTGAAAATGCTCCTGTCCTGGTTTTGGAGTTCAATCTTCTCCTGGCAGGTGAATGTCATTCCTGATATTTGACAAGCCAGAAGTGTCTTGTGCAGTGCACATATTCTATTTAATGTGCTGTTTGGCATCCTCAGAAGCCTAGGGTTTGCTTGCCTAAGGAATCACCTGTCCTTAAGGGTGCTGTTGTAACTAAAGTTGGTTCATCTCTTTTTGCCACTAGTATAGTGGTCATTTGTTTTTGGAGGGACACTACAACTGGAATGTTTCCTTTCTGGAGATCTAGACAAAATATGTATTATAAATGTCTATATTTAAAACAGAACCCTGCCTTGCTGTTCTCTTGCTTTGGCCTGATTTTTCCCCTTCATTCCAACTCTTAATGAAGGACAGGAGTATTACTTCAGCCAGACCCTGGAATTTAGTACAGATTATATGATTGGTTTTATTGTAGGCATTGCCTAGGGTCTGCAGGTGGCTGAAGAGTGAGGAGCTATGTGTGCTCAGCCCCTTCAGCAGCCCAGCCCCTGTGCCATGGCTCAGCACAGACTGAGAGGTCTCCCCTGGCAAAAAGAGTCATTAGTCAACTACTCCTTTGGGTATTATGGGCTTAAATCCAGTGTCCCATGAAGAAAAAACAAACCAAAAAACCCAACAACAACAAAAAAACCCATTTGGGATATTAGTATATCTAAGTTTTTCCTTCATTTGTTCCTTTCCCTCTCCTCAGGGATTGGTCTCTGAAATCTCAATACTTTGGCAGTATTTACCTAATGTTTAATATGTTTTTTGCTGACCTCATCTTGTTGCAAACTATATATTTTTATCCAGAAATAAAGGAGAAAATTAGTTACCTCATTGTCTTTGGCAGCATCTGCAATATAAACAGAATCACAAAAGAGAAAATAAAAAACACTGTTGATGAACATTCAGTTTGCAAATGAATTTCATTAGCTCCAGCCCCTCCAGCAACACCAAGTCTCTTGCCCATTTGAAAATAAATACTGGCAGTGTTTTTAGTGGTTAATAAGATACAGGTGACAGGACCTATTAAACAAGTGGGCCTTATTGTAGTGTTTATCTTAGAAATCTGTGTCAGCAACAAGAGCAGCCTTTGTTGTCAGAGGGAATGGAGGCTATTGTTCCCCTTTTCACCAGAGAAAGATTGAAGACCCAGGAGTCAATATTATGTTCAATGGCCAGCCTGTTTAGGATGAACTAGGTTGACTGGGTTGTAATTCCCAAGTTTATATAAAAAATAGTGTAAGGCTGTAAGCAAATCACATCCTTTTATACTTTGATTTTCTGTCAATAATGCAGATAATATCTGTATTAAAATAAAATACTAAATATATATAATAATGTTAATGCAATTTGGATCACAATACCACTTTAAAAAGTGTTTTCACTTGCTGGTTGATGTAGATTCAAAATTATTTTGTGGAAGGATTGGCTCCTATTTTGTATACACATAGCATCTAATATAGTGGAGCCCTGTTCTCAGGTGGGGCTTCAAAAAGCTCTTTCACAACAATGATAATTACACCTCCCATAAAGTAATCAAGTAACGTTGGCATGTCTCCATTGTAGTGACACATTCGTTACTTTCTTTAGGAATGTATTTTGTTCTTCTCTCCTGTAATCATCATTCTGTGGCTTCCAAGGGATAAAAGTTATCAGTCAGAGGCTTCTGTACAGAAGGAACAGGAAGAAAATCCATGATGATAGAAAAGTCGGCACAGCTCTAGCACTTGTCTTTCTGACTAAATGTACCTCTTTTTTTTGATCTTTAAAGCCATTAAACTTTCCACTGAAACTTCTTCTCATGGAACTGCTTACATCTTCTCATCAAATAAAGTTGTCCAACGTAAAGAAAGATGGCTTAAATAATGTTCCATGTCAAGTTTCAGTCTATGTCACCAGAAGTTTGACTGAGTTTTCATTATTCTGGAATTGGATCAGATTTAACCCGCTTTCACAAAAACATTAAGATGTCATTTTTTCTCTGGTAACCTTTTAATATCCACTATGTACTTGGGAGTGAACGCAAAAAAGATATATCTGAAAAAGTATCGATCCATAAAGTTTTAATGCAACAAGGTAAATTGGAAAGTTCAAGGAAGGGATTTACTGGAATTCTTATGAAAGCAATATTTATTTCTTTTTCTGCAGTTAACGGATCCCTGTGTGAACAGCTTCCATGAAAAGCATGCTATTTCATTGAAATTCATATTTTTCATTAAAAAATTATTTTGAGACAATTTTTAAAGCAAACTTTTCAGAGCTATTCAACATGGAAAAAGATTGTTTTGTTTCAGAATTTTTGTTTTGTTTTAACATTTTCATTGTTTTGCTTCTTTAACATTCATAATGCTGTTGAACTGCTATACCGCTATCAGAGAAGATTTGGACTCTACTCTTCCAGTTATCCTAAATGTACTTATTTTTCTATATCTTTCTTTTTTTAATTACAATTTAAAACCAACCAACCAACCAAACATGCAAACCAACCAACCACAAAACAAAGTGGAGACTCAAGAAATTCTTTCCAGCTCCCTCTTTTACCACAAAACAACTTGCACCTCAAAGCTCTCTCCAGCCTGGCAAACTAACATCATAAAGAGATTATTCACAACCATATTATGTGGCCCATGCATAATCAACTGTCTCCTGCTTGCTGAGTGTGGCAGGAGAAGGACCTCATCAGCTCCTAGCTCTCTGCTCTGGTGGAAGAAAAAAGTAATTAGTAAAAACCTGCTGTAGTTCTGAGGCTTTACAGTTCAGTTTTTAGTTACAATGCAGAATGCAGCTCTGATTCACACCACCATCAAGGAATAGGTTTCATCTACTCAATTTGGCAACTGTAAAGCTAGTGCAATATTGCTTGCTAAATAGTGCACTAGCATAAAGTTTCATTTGCTTTCTGCCGCCCAAGTCTGGCAACTATTGCTTACTATCCCAATAGACTGAGAAGCTCCCATTGTTTGAACATTAGAAATATCATATATCAGGAATTAAAAAAGGTTACTCACTTGCTAAGCAAAGAACTGCCAGGGCGAGGAGCACAAATGCGCCTGTTATCTTCATGGCAGATGTGGGTTCTTGACCTGTTTCACAGCCAATCTGTGCTCTAAATATTCCAGTACACTTAGTTTAAATGTGTATTCATGTATCTGTGAGAGCAGATATATATATACGCACACACAAAGACCAGGAACCCTGATGATGAAATCCCCCTTGTAGGGAAGGTAATTAGAAGAAGGTGTTGCCCATGGGTAGTGTCAATAAGAATGTCTTCTGTACAACATGAAGCACAGGGCAAAGATGAGCGTCACAGTATGGATTGTGTTGATAAAGGAGAAGTATTGTACTTTGGTTATGCCTAATTAACTGTTCCATCTCCATTAGCGAGTTCAAGGAGTGACTCAGTAAGGTGGTTACTTATTGCTGTTCTGTTATTGCCATATTGACTCTCAGCAGTGAACATCATTCCTAGGGGAAAAAAATAATTCTTACTGGGTGCATTCCAAAAGTTTCGTACCAGTAGAGCTGAAATGCTTCATTCCTATTCTCTTGACATCTTGGAGACCCTTGTCACCAGCTGTGGCTAGAGGCGATGCTCGTGAATATGGCTGCGCACTGAGCCCTTTCAGGACTGCTCTGTGATAGTAGTTGCTGCTTGTAAACATCTACATTTCCTGTGAGTACCCTCACCTTCACACACAGCCCAGAAGATCCCCCAGTCTTTCAGTGTTCTTCTGCCTTTAAAGTCCCGTCAGTTTAGAGATCGGAAACAATGCTTTGTGACAGAAGGTGCAAAGATATCACATTGTGCTGCCTAGCAAAGCAAAGTGACGAGTTCACAGCCGTTGTGCATCCTGCTGAGTTACTGCCTAGTTTGCTGTTGTGGAGATATGGAGAAGATCCTCTGCCTGCCCATCTTCTCCTTTGTTGCCATTTCCAGCACAATAGGTGTCATATCATGTGGCATTCTTTAAACAAATCCAACATAGCACTGTGTTAGTGACTTAATCAATAAGCATAATTTTCTGGCTTTTGGAATACAGACCGGGGTAGAGTCACAATGGGAAACTCAGATCAGAATCTTAATATTCATGAAGTTTAAAGTAATGTGGAGTTTTGAGCCTATATTTTTGTTTGAACTCATCCTTCCAGAACTGTCTTCTCTTTAGTGATTAGCAATGTAGATGTCCAAATTGTCTCAGTATGAAAGATCCCTGCGCACCATTACAATTCACAGTATCTCAGTGATCACCTTGCAGGATAGCCTGGAGCTTTTTCCCCATGGAGGAGTTAGAGTCATACGTGCTCATTTCACCAAGCCAGAGGGACTGAGAGTTCTTACAGAAAAGGTTGTAATAGTTCAAATAGAACTTGGGCTCCACTGGCTCATGTGGAAACCAGGAGGGATATGGATCATCTTGTCTTTAAAGGATGTAGGTAAAGTATAAATGGTTCATTTCTCATCAATTAATTAAAAAAAAAATTCTCATCAATTAATTTTTAGGAAAAAACCCCATAGCTGCCATCAAATTCCAGTTCCAAGATAGGTAGAGATCTGGTTTGAGGTGGAGGCCTGTAGATTTTTTAAAAATGCCCTTACTTTAGTGAATTAATTTTAAATTTTTCTTTGGTCTTATCTTGGACAGCTGAGCATATTCCTGTGAGGTAGAGATCACAAAAGACAGGCTTTGATTTAAATTGGTGGTGGTCTGGATCGGCTTTGGGATGTCAATGACATTTTTGTTCTGAAAACTGAAAATTTTTCTGAAGACCCTGGCACAGAACGTGCATAAACTCATAGAGAATATTCAGGACGTGTTTGGTGGTTGATGGACAATTACCAACATTAGGCAACAAGAGCAAAATCCAAAACAATGCAGAAGGTACTCCCAGTCTGAATAGTTTTGAGCAAACAAGACTCTTGAGGATATCTTGAAACTATAAAACTGCAGCTTGACAGAACACGCAGGTTCCTTGACACTGGTATGAGGAAATCTGGCACTTTGGTTACATTCTCTTGCCTAATGTCTGATGCAACCTCAGTATCCATCCCATCCCTCTAGCAGAAGAATATAAAACATCTGTTTGCAGTCTTCTGAGCTGATGTAGGAAGGTTCTTCTGAAGCCTTGTGTAGAAAGGAAGAGAGGACTTTCAGAGGTGGCGGTGGGGGCTAATGATGGAGGCAGATTTTGGATCAGATTTTTCTTAGCATTCAAAAACTGTATCTTCCCACTGAAAGGATTCCTGATGCCAATTCTGTGCCTTATAGCAGGAAAGCCATAGTGTGAATGTTTTCTTGCTGGTAATGTTTAGGTGTTTTGATTAGGGCTTTTAAATAAAATTAAGATTAATTTTCTGAGCAGTGGACCTTAAGCTTTATAGGGCTTGCAAAACAACTCAGATAGGAGGGATACAGTTCTGATGAGAAAGCTGTGACATATTGTAGGATATGCAAATAGCGGCTTGCTGCAAGCAGGGCACAGCAGGGAGGTCAGCCAAAGTTCTGGAGATTTTTTCATTTTGAAATATCAAAGCTGTCTTGAAGCTTTGAGAAGAAAAATGCCATACTCAGACAGCAACAGTCTGTTTCACTTTCTGCAGTGTGATAATATTCATACACAAAATCTCAAAATGAAATTTGGTAGAAAGAAATGCCACAAAGCATTTATTGCAATTCCAGTGTAAAAGGATACCAAAGTATAGATATGCCTAGCTTTAAGAATGGGCAGAATTCACATTAGCCAACTGGAGAAAATAATCACTGTTTGACTGAAAAAATGCTTGATCTGAGGCATCTTTCTGGCCAAACTTGTTGTTTGCCCAGCAGCCTTCACATGGAGCTGGTCTGACAACCTGAGACCTGTCATCCTCAGGCAGGTCAAAGGTTCATCTAGATCAGAGTGGTGTTTTCGAGAGCATGCAGCAGCAGATTGTGAGGACAATACAGTGATTATTCTCTTGGTGGACACGTTGAACATGAGCCAGTGGTTTGCCCGTATAGTGAACAAGTCCAGCTCTGCATACAGGGCTGTATTAGTAAGAATGTTATCATCAGGTCCAAAAAATTGTTGTTTCCCCTATTCAGCACTTATGAGGCTGCATCTGGAGTTCTGCGTACAGTTCTGGGCTTCTCAGCACAAGAAATCTGGATCAAATCCAGCAAAGGACCACCAAGATGTTCAGAGGAATGAAGCATGTGTCATACTCAGAAAGACTGGAAGGAGTGGTTTGTTCAGTTTGAAGAAAGAAGGCAAAGTCTTCTTGTTGTCTTCAGCTACTTTATAGGGGCATAGAACAAGGCATAGACAAGAGCCAGACTTTTCTTGGAGGTGCACAGTGAAAGGAAGAGAGAGAATAGTGCAAATTGTAGCAGGAGAAAATCCAATTAGATGTGAGGAAAATTCACAATGAGAGTACTTGAGCATTGGAGTAGGTTGCCTAGAGACATTATTGGAGATACTAAAAAATGGATCTGTTCTAAGGCCACCACCACAGCCTGGAGGTAGGACAGGGATGTGGGCAACAGGTGACCTCCAGTGGTCCGCACCAACCTGGACCGATTCTGTCATTCTCATAGTTGAATGTTAACTGCTGCTGGCAGTCAGTGGCATATTGTATTTGTCCTTAGGTGTGAGTACCTCACATTGAGGACATCAAAAGTGCTGAAAAATGGCACATAGAATAGATAGAAAACATATTCTCACACCCCACTATACTTGGGAAGAATGTACAAGCCAAGATAGATACTGATATGGTCACAAGTGGGAATTCAGCCCTCACAGTGATTCCAGTGCATGTTTGTACGCAACCCAGTATGCAGGCTCCTTCAATTTTATTGTGTGTGGGTGGTGAGGGTTGTCCACCCACATGCAATTAATGTATCAGACTTTTAAAGTCTTGCTCAATGGAAGGTTTGGGAACCAAGTGATGTGTTTCTTAAGGCATCAAACTGTGCCAAAACATTTGGGTATTTGCCTGAAGGAAGGTGGGTTTCCCATTTTCCACAGCCTAAGAAAGATCAAAGGAGCCTTTCTTTAAGATGGCAGGTATCAAGCTGGAACGGATCCCAGCTGAAGGTTTCATGTGTTATTTTAGAAAGTAAAACTAACAAACAACACTATGACTGCAAAGGCTGTTCTTCATTCTTTTTCTTTGTATCTTCTGATCTCCTTAAGTTAAACTACCAGGCTGTGATACCTGCTATTGTGCAACGAGCCTGTGAATCCTTTGAGTTACTTAGTGTCATACCATTGATGTTTCTGAATGACTTGATTCTTCATAGATATATGCAAAACAGGCATTAACAGCTTAACACTTGGCATTGAATGAATTGCACAGTGAACATTTAAATTGCCTTCTATTTTATATTTTAAGATGAAATTTCCAGGTGTTTGGCACTTTGAAGTTCTGTCACACTGAAGTCAGCCAAACAGAAATATTTGAGGAAAGGTTTCTTAGTTTTTTTCATATCTGAGAAAAAGGTTAGAGGTCATACATCAGTTTTGCCTCTATTAAAAATATTACAACTTTTATAAAAGCTACAGGAATTGGGATAGCATGAAGGTCAACATGGAAGGAGGGGTGGATATGAAGGCATTTGGTCCTGATATCTAATAGGTGTTCTCTCACAAAACCTCTCATTAGACATGAGCCTTTTCTTTTTCTTTTGCTGTTACCAAGTGCCTGCTTACGCAGCTCTAATGGCTGAAGCACTTAGAGGATAGCAAGCTCCTACTGCAACCTATTAATGCCTCATTAAGTACACCAACTATTTGTAAAGCATTTTTTGAGGTGAGGAGCGCCCACAAAAAGCCCTGGAGGGAATTAGTCAGTCTCTGTTCAGTGCAGATTTAGTGAGGTGTGGTAGGCAAAACCTAAAGCCACATGTTGAATGATGAGTATGAATAGAAAGCTGGAGGACCTGCCCCTTCCCAGAGAATGCTGGGTCACCCAGCGAGACAGGGGTCCAGTAGAAGAGCTGTTATGTGTCTACATGATAAATGACTCTTACACCATAGCGGCCTCAGGAATAAGCATAGTTCGTTATCATTATTTTGTTTCAGAAGCTTTGGCTTTGCAGTCCAAAGTTTCTGGTGGGCAATTTTGTACGTTGTGCAGTCTGATTGAGTCTACACGTTGTGACCTTTATAAGATGGTTTCCAGATCATTTGCAGTGCAACAAGGGGAGGAATTAAGAGAAATACAAGGATTAACTGACACATCAGGTAATATTTTCTAAACTGGATGGAGTATGTTAGGAAATTATGTCCAGTGTGTGGAGCCACCTGAGTGAATATTTGTGCTGTGATGTTAACATCTTTTTGTACAATCTAGAGTTTCTCAGAGGTGGGAGACTGACAATTTCTAGAGCAGACCTTCAGAGACACTGAATCCATATAAGGCCTAGGAAATGGATAATCAAGGATTGAAGCCAACTTTATGTCTTAGCCATCTTATAATTAACTTGATTTCTGCAGAAAAAAGGCAGTTTCAAGCTGTGCTTTGTTGTTTTTCTGAAGAATCTTAGACAATGACTTTCCTCTCTACCAGCTTCCCATAACTCACCTTATAGGGTCAAGGCAAGTCCCTTTAAAGGTAATAGATCAATACAGTCTTTGTCAGGATACTTGTAAATTTAGCCTGAGTATTTGTGAGAGTGAAAAGGAGGCTGAACCAAAGTTAATGAGAGGTGTCAATGATTGGTTTCAATGGTGCCAGGGTTTCAACCCGGCTATCTGAAGAACAAGAAGGTCCTACTAATCCTGAGCACTGTACCAACAGTATAGAGAGAAACCTCAGAGACCTCAGGGCAGATCTCAACCTGGTTTCAGCTGCAAACCTCCTGACCACAAAGGCCAGCAAACTTCAATGCACTCTTAGACTGCAGAAGAAACAATCACTTCTTAGCCTGCAGAAGAGAGTTTAGCAGAGATTGCTGACTAATGGACATCACTTTTCTGCCTTGCCCTGTACAGTTTCACAGGCCATGACTTTGGTAGCATTAATCGGTAATATTACTTCTCCCTACAGACATTGCGTCACTAGTGTATAATGTTCTGGTAGGCAAGTGAAGAGTGATGTTAACTGTTCTTCTTAAAAGATCACAAGTAAACCAGATTTTCTTGTTTTCAGATGTATTTATTATTAGCTCCTTCATAAAACAAGCACAGTAAATTGAATTTATAGCAGAAATAAGAAGTGTACACTTAATATTAATAAGTACTAGCAGTGTTTGTAGCTAGATTTTCAACAGTTTTCTGAAATATCAGATACTTTCCCACATTTCAGTGTTTAAGTATCTTAAATTACCACCGATTTCTAAGACTGGGAAAAAAGGAAGCACGGTCACAATGGAAATCTTTCTTTAATTTCAGTGATTCTGTGTCAGGGATTAAGACCTAAATCCTCAGAGATATTTTAATGTATTTTGCTGTCCTGAAAGTCAGGATTTAGGTGGTTTAACAAAAATGTACTTCAACACATACTTCTGCTTCTTTCCAGGCCTGAGAACTTACACTGTAAGCAGTTCAGAACTAGCACTTGAGGGGTTTTTCCCTAAGGTTCTGTGAAGACACCTAGCACATGTTGCAGTACTAGGGAAATACTTTAAAAATTAACTATAAAAATCTGTATTCTAAAATTCTAATTAGATATTTAACATCCACATATAAAACTAGTTACCAATTGCTCTCTGAAATATCAGATACACTGCAATTAAACATCTAAGTAATTGAAGCTGCTTTGGTTTCAGTTGCATATTCCTGACTCCTTGTGCCCTGTGGTTTAGCCTGTGGCAGAGCGGGTCTGAATCACCTTTATTACCAGAAAACTCCCCTGCAGGAGATGCACTGGGTACAGATGGGTCACTGTATGAATAAATGATCACAAGCATGAAAGAAAAGCAGGATCACCTGGTCTAGGTGATCCTGCTCTGGCAGGGGGGTTGGACCGGATGATCTTTCAAGGTCCCTTCCAACTCCGAATATTCTGTGATTCTATGATTCTGTGAAAGTTTTGTTTAGGAAGTGTTACATTCAGCTGCTGGCTCCTGTTTCAGTTCATGAGAGGTGGCAACAGGACTCTTTCAACACAGCACCTCAAAGCCACCTGCCCTCCAGCACTCCCATTGCTTCCACTGCAGCTTGGGCTCAGCTACAAGTGCAGGACTTTGAGAGTGGTTGACGTCTCATGCAACAGCCATTTGCAGGGTTCACCAGCTGGGCATCAACATGATGTAAGCATGGAGAGCTGACAAAATGCAGCAGCTGACATTTCTAGGACTCTGAACTTGCAATTCCTTCTTTTACTAAAACATCTGCCATCAGATTGGAGGATGAGGATGGCAGCCCTGATACATTATACATGGCTGCCTCATGCAGCCAAGGCTTTCTATGCTCATACATTTCAACAGAACAAAAATAAATAAATAATTAAATAATAAAATAAATAAACAATTAAATATTAAATACCAAACCAGTTCCTTCAGTAAGTTACTTTCCAAATAAATTAACACATGAAACAGTTTGAATAGCAACTGCCATCATCTGGCATGGCAAGTCATGCCAAGTGAATAAATAAATAACAAATAAATAAATAAATAGATGCAATACAATAACATGCAAACCTACAACAACAGCTGACAGCAATGTATCAAAACACTGTACATGTTAATATAACATGATGTATGCTAAAGGTGTTACTCAAATCTGGGGAATTTAGAAGAGCTGTCAAAATCAGGACTGTATCAATCTATTGCCAAAAAGATATGTTAAGGCTTCTTAATAATCTCAAATGCAAATTGTTCTTCTAATTATGTTCTTGTGCTAATTCTTTGGTTTCTTTAGGAGTGTTGTGCTGTTCTCCTAGAATCTCTTACTGGTTATCTGTAAAAGAAGAGAAAGGAAATTTACAAACAAACAGAATTATCTTTCTTTTCCTCAGACCTAGATTTTTAGTCCATTTCTCAATAAAGCTCTGCTGGTCTGAGCCATCTAGTGAAATGCCACTACTCAATTTCCCTAAATGACTCAGGACCACATAGTGGTCCTGAATAAGAATTTCCCGTGTCTGATGAGGATTAGGGATTCAGCTTCAACTGCTCAGAGTCAGGCTTCTGTCCAGCTATGGCCCTTTGGAATCTATAAATGTCCCTGTACCGATGACGACTGGACCCACAGAACAGTGTGATTTCATATTAATAGGGCTGCAAGTTTACAACTTTTCAACAGTGTGACTCAGGAAACTTGGAGGTCAGAGAGATTTGCATCTACATCTAATTGAAAAAAAAAATCCTCCCCAAAATTACAGAAAAGAAGAGAGGAAGAAGATTAAAAAAAAAATCTACATAATTCTTTCTTCTTGATCTGAAGGAGGCTATTTCCATATTTTAAAAGATATTCTGACCTGGAAAGGTAGGCTGAGAGTGATTTAGAGCTGTAAGAGAATGCTAATCAATTCACAGGATAAGAAAGCAGCCATTCCTAGGACTAGCAGAAGCTGCTAATAGCTTTTCTTTCCTATAGCACGTATCTCATCTCTCTTTCACTCCCTTTCTCATTTTACTGGTAAAACTGCACATGGATTGTCTGCTGTATTTGGTTGCTCAGTATTGATTCATAAGCTATCAATGAATAGAAAGGACAAAAATCAGCATGGGTTAAACTATCAATGGCCAAATGCTCATGTATTTCTTAAAGAATATTTTATAATTGCCTAGCTAGGTAGAATGCTACCCATGTCCATGAACCTACATCCCTTGATTCCATCCATTTCTGATTTAAATGGATTCACATTGTTTCCTCAAATATTTTTTTGAAGAGAGTGATGGTTTAGACCACCCAATACATTTGCATGTTTATTCTCTTACAGATATTTCATGAAAATAATATTCAGAAGGCAAAAATTATTATAAGGAAATGTGAAATATACAAGTATTTAAGAAGCAGAAGTAGTTCAGAGAATCCTTACTTTCCTAGGTAAGGAATCATCCCTGCTCCTCCAGTAGAAGGTTCTTTAAGTCTTACCTGCAAAGTGAAGACCACTCACTCCAGGATGAGTTGTAATAGCGATCCCTGGCCTGCACAGAGATCTTGTCTTTTGGCCCAGCCATTGGAATCTGAATAGACTGCTCATCAGCATCATAGACCTATGAACAAGGCACAGCTCCATCAGCGGATTGTGAAGGTCAAGCAGAACATACAATAACGTGCCAGACAGATTGCAACAAGCACATGTAACTCAAAAAAACCCCACTGGTAGTCTGTTGTTTCAAAGGCACCAACCTTCACCCACAGATACCAAAGTCACGAGAACTTGTGAGAACTTGAGCCTCAGTAGAAACAAACTAGAAAGCCCACTTTCCACTGAAAAGTGTTGTAAAGTGATCCAAACCCCAAACTGAAGCAATCATTAAAGCAAAAACTGTATTTCTTTATCAGAGTTTTTCTCTGTTTTTCTTCTTCTCTCAGAATGGAAACCCTAAAATACAGAAGTTGCTGCTTTTCAGTATCGTTGAAATTTCCACTGAGGATTCATGGCTGATACAAGAAGCTCTCCGTACACTCACCAGTTCCTCTACCTAAGGGATTGTACAAGACAACCCTACCAAAAATCAGGGAGTCAGCACTAGGGAAATGGCCCCATCTGCTGGTACAGGCTTGCTTATTTTTTTCACATAGGAAAAGACACTGGTTTAGTCAGCTGGCAGACTGGACTGATCATTACATTTGTTTACTTTTCTGATTCCTGGACCAAGGAAAAGCAGCACTGCAGTTAAGGACCTGCACTGTGGTCAGCTGGTTTGTGTATTTCTTTCTAGTTCTGCTGTTAATTTCTTTGCCAACCTAGGCACATTGCCACACTGCTGTTGTGTACCCTGTAGTGTATCCATGAGCGTTAGCAAAGGAAGCAAAACCATTTTGTGATTTAAAGCTAATAAAGAGTAGCCAAGTTTGGTTAACAATTAACTAATAACTAGAAATTGAGTGGCAAAGACTGTAGCCTTCGCCAGTCTCCACAGAAATGCTACCAAATGAGTCATTGATTCCTTATTTGCCATTCATCTATTAAAAAAATCTGAGCTACCCAGGTACAAACAACATACAAGGAAATCAGTGCAACAGGTCCTTGACTTCTTGATTTGGTAATTGGGATTTTCCCACATTAGGACCCACACAGCCTACTAATGATTTAGTAAATACTTCTGTCATGCGAGCGCAGCTATGCAATGCTGGGCACAATTTTAGCTCCCCTGTTACATCAGGGTTGCATCCACCCCAGACTGTGTTGTTTGAATCTTGCTGTTCATAGAACTGGGAAGGAGGTCTTTTTCTGCCAGCACAGAACCTTGCCACATTTGGGTCTTAACACCACTTTTTTTAAAATTTCTAGTCCGTGATTGTTGCATTCTACACTTATGGTATTTATACTGACTGTTCAAGCAAGAAAATGTGAATCTCTACCTGGCTTTTGCGTTTCTTTGTACTTTCAACTTTGACCCTGAAAGTCAAAGGGAAGTAGGACTTTGGTGTGCTCCATGTTCTGGGGTACGTCCAGGTCACTGTTCCATTTGTGGCAACATACTGACATTGAGGTGGGTCGGGTTTTACTGCAAGAGAAAATATAGAGGGAATTAATTCACAATAGCAGCATAATATGAGAAGTCGGTGTACTACTATTGATAGTTTTATAGGAATCAGCTTTGGGAGCCTCCATGGAATTAATAGAGGAATAATCATGATGTGTAAGAACTGCCTTGTACGCTTCCTATGGAATATCAAGCACACTCCCAGAGTCTCTCTGGGTAAGAATGGATCAGGAGTGTAGCACACATAGACTTAACCATTATCTGAGTAAATCTGCAGTTCTCAGAGAAGAGCCTGCTGGGTTATTGGTTATTCTCTGACTTCTCCCACATACCCCTTCCAAAACATGCCCATCTAATGGAGAAGGCCACAGAAACTTCTGGGAGATGTGAGGGTGAGAGAGTTGGAGGTCACAAGCCAGGGAGATGTAGCTTCTTCACTTCCTCATCCTCTTCCAGACTGCCACTAAGATTTGATTTCCCCTGTTCCTGTAACTGGGGACTTGATACAGATTTACTGTAGAATAGGGCAGGGATTCCCAAGCTTGATCAGCTACCACTGTTAGTTCCACTGTCAGCAGCAAGAATAAAACTAAAAATTTATCATGATTCCTGGTCTACTCACTGATATCTCTGATGAAGAAGCTGCTAGTGTAGTTCTCATATTCCACCTCGTCAATGACCTCCAGGAACATCTCAGTTGGCTGGTGCTCTTCAGCAAACGGGCAGTAGTTTTCTTTCTGGCACTGGGCTGTGTACTTGGTCACTGATTTCTCAGTGTGAGCTACAGGGCTGCTGCAAGTTACGTCTCCTTGAGAGCTGAATACAGAACAGAGAAAAGTACTGGAAATGCTGGTTTGTTCTGAGAATTTGTAGCCACAAGGATAACATGTAGTTGGTAAGGTATTGTTTTGCAGTTGCCTGTATCATTTTGTAGTTGCACTTCATCAGCTGCAGAAACAGTTCAGTGGGTGTTCTTAAATTTTCAGTGCTGTATTACAATCACAAAAGTCTCCCTGCCTTAGCAGAAGGAATTAGTGTTTAAACCTAAACCAAGATACCTCATTTCTTATTACCACTGTCCCGTGGCAAGCTCTAGTATCTTACTTTGTTCCTCAGCCCTTTCCAAAACCTTGCTGGAAGAAATAAGGTAAGGTTCCATTGGGAAATAAATAAAAAAAGCCATCTATAAAGTACTACCTGAATGTGGTTCTATTTTTGCATTCACCAAAATAAAACACTTTGCAGTTGTTTCTTTAACAAAGTGAAATGACCTTTGCTCAAACACTCCATGTTTTGGAGAAACCCTCAAGAGCAGTGGGAGGTAGGAAATCCCCACAAGGTTCCCGTCACGTATTTCCCTCACAGGTTTCTGCAGTGTTCCTCAACAGAGACTTGTCAGTGGACATGTGGCTTTTGCAGTGGGTGCAGCCTCCCACTCCCTTAATTCCACTGGATCTGCTGCGAAAGGACTCAGTGCTGTGATTGTTTCTGCTTTTGGCTCAACTTCCTCTCTCTCCCCTGCATGAACTATTTTTGCTATTGCTTAAGTTATTCTGTGGCTGTACTATAGCAGATGTAACAGCCCAGTGGGGGCTGTTCCATTTTCAAGTCTTTAACAATTTCTGAGCAACCTTCGTGCCCTTATTTGTTAAGTTAATCCCAGTGCTGGCTCAAAACGTTTTGCAGAAGTTCAGACCATGGAAGTGGGGTTCCTCGCCTTCTAAATGTCCTCAGGAGCCTAAAATCCAGGATTTCCTATGCAAAGTAACACAAAGGGCTGTTCCATCCTTACTATGAGGTTGTTAAGGAAAGTACAAGCTTTTACCCTTTTAGACTTCTGATTGTGAACTTCACATCTGGACTCTCATTTTCTGTCATCCATGAACATATGAAAATTCCAGAGTAGTTCTTTGCTTCACATTTTAAAAATGTCCTGTCTGGCTCTAGATGGAAAAAGAGAGAAAACATGATTTATTTACTCTTTTTGTCAGAACAGTCAAAGCACAGAGAAAACAGCAATTCAACAGTCTCATCTACTTTGACAGGTGGTGCATGCACAGGCACACACAGTGACATACTGCACCTGTAGTTAAAAAGCCATATAACCACAATTAGTGGCTGAAGACATGTTTACATGGCACCACATTAACCACATCTACGTGGCTGTTGGCAGGAGCTGGAGCATATGCAAGCTGTTGCAGATAGCTGTCAGTAAGAGATTTATATAGACAAATCCATTGTTCCTTTCACAAAGAAACGTTGCAGCTCTTCAGTAGGCAAACCTCTGTATTTGTTACCACGCAGTGGATAATCTCACGTCTTCACACACTGGGGCACTTGATGGGGAATGTTCCCAGTGTGAGAAGTGAATTAGGGCTCAGTATAAGCATGTATTTAATTTCTGCTGCTCAGCAACTGCAGACTTTTGGCAACTCTATATGTTACCCTGGCTGTAGCTGACTGGCAGACCAGCCTACTGCGTGTTGTATGTGGGTCCCGGAGCCAGGGAAGAAGACTTGGAAATTCAGAAGTTCCTGGCACTACATTGAGGGACTGCAATATGAGACATAGAAGAGTGAGGTTCATGCAGAAAATGCAAAGCATCACAGGCTTGTCCCAGTGGGTTAATTGTGAATGGAGAAGTGCAAGTGACAGTATTTAAAATCTAGGTTAGTCCCTGGTTCTGTCAAATCATGTAGCCCTGGTTTTGCAAATGGTCTCCTAATGCTGGGTCCATGAGATGGAGGCAAAGCAAGTCAATTGCTGCCCCACCAGAAAAGCAGTGGTGTAGTATTGATGTTATCCTGTGTCTAATCATTCCTACCATCACTTTCTCCTATGGGTCTAGAGAATCCTAAATTAATCCCATGGCAACTGATTCCTATGCTGCTTATCAGTTACACCATATACACTCTCAAAAGTAATCATTTGCCTTTCACTGTCAGTAAAACATTTGAAGAGGACCCATTTCAAAGTGGATATTTCTCACGCATTTCCAAGAGAGGTCCCCCTGGTCCTCACAAAGCTGAGCAAGATAAATCACATCATTTTATGGCCGTACCTTTAAAGCTCTTCAGGATTGACCTTATCATTTGCCCATTGGAGTCTATTTTCGTTATGAGGAAGAAATCGTAGCTGATGATTTCATGGGTATTAGCTAGCAGACAGGTGTAGTTGCCAGCATCTGGAAACTCTTTCACTTCAGCAATCAGTGTCTTTCCAGTTCCTTTCAGTTCAGTGCCCTTTTTCCAGTAAACTGGCAGTGTTTCATCAGATGTGTTACAGGTGAGCTCCACTCTTTTAGCTGGTGTCTCATCATTCCACTCTGATTCTATGACGTACACTGGACATTACAGAGAAAGACATGTTAGGAGCTACTCATACTTAGCAGTGTGAAGATTGAACTGAGCCCTTTTTTTCAGCTCTACTCTCCAGGAAAACTGCTAACAAATCTCTGGCTTTCTTGCCTCACCATCACCTGGAAATCTTTACTACAAAAGGATGTTCAACTTTGAAATTTACAGTGTATCTAGAGCCTGCTGATCATTAGGGATGACATTTTAATAAAAGAAATTATTTTTTTCCCTACGTTCCCCAAGAATCTTACAGTGGTTCATAACCATGGGAAGTAGGCAGGCACCTTTGTTTTAAAGGTGAGGATGCCAGGACACACTGAGCCCAGGTGTCCCTCCTGCCCATGGCCTGTGACCTTGCTCACAGAATGGTGTGTAAAACCCCTCTATGCTATGCTCTTTGCTGTGGTCCACAGCTGTGGCGCTTTGCCCTCTTCAGCGTCAAAGGTCTGTGAGTGAGCAATGGGAAGGAGGGAAGCTCTGGGTAAATGGTTTGTATTTGCCTGTAGCTGATGCAGTTTTCCATTTCCTACAGGGAACAATCTGTACTCCTACCACCGTTGTCCAAATGGAGCAATTACTAAGAGATGGGGGATCTCTGAGCTGCAGAGTAAGTGGACAGTAACAGAGTGTGGTCTTCTAAATGCCATCCTGTAACTCTGAAGTGCCCTGCGCATCTATTCTAATTAGAAGACCTACCACATAACAAAATAATTTCGAACAGCTCCATTAAAGAAATACTATCTTCTCTTGCCTCTTTGCTGTAGCTGGCTGAAGAACTTCACCTACACTTCTGTGTGACAACAATTCTCAAATGTAGCTGTCATTGCTCAGATACACTGCTGCTGCCACAGGCTCCCCAGACAAGCGCCCTCCAAGACTCTTCTACATGAAGGAAGTGGCAAAAATTTGTTTCTTAGTGTGTCAACACCACAGCAAGCACCCAGCTCAGGAAATCAGAGTTCCAGTGAGCTCTAAGACATTTTCACCAGATCATCTCACCACCAGAATGAGAGCTTTAAGACTTTACAACAAAGAAGAAACACTAAGAAGTACTTGTCAAATGCTGAATCTAAAATGGCAGAAAACATGCACCCTTAGGAAGCTTACTAAATTGCTTATGGATATCTGAAGCACAGTCAAGGTAAATCTTACAGACTTCAAACACAAAAATCATTAATACTGGCAAACATATTTGCAGTTTTAAGCACCATGGTATTGCCCAGGGAATCCACAGGATAATTTTTTTTTAATGTAAAGATACAAGGAAAAGTAATTGAATTACTTTTTACAAGTAAAAATCAGATTGAGAATGCTTTTCTCATGTTGATTAGGGCCCTTCTTTTTGTATAATCGCATTGAAGACAGCCTGGATTATGGAGCTACACTGGGTGAATAAGAACATCAAATTTGATTACCTGAATTTAGCCCTGTTTTCTGGTAAGTTAGTAAAAATATTTCTTTGTTTATTACTGACCCTGTATTTTTACAAATGTATATGCATTTAAGTTATTTACCGGAAAACTTGGATAAACTATTTCTAGGTTTTAGGTTTTACTGTGAAATATTCTTTTTGATAATTAATTCTTCACTTGTTTGTTTGAGGGTTGTTACTTAAGTCACAAGATTCTGCTTTCAGACTGCATGACTGAAACTTCTGAAACAAGAAATAGGAAATAAGTTTCTAATGCAACTATTCAGAATAGCTATTGTACAACATTTTAGGACTTCCAAATGTTTCTTCCATTAATACTGATTAGTTGGCTAGTTATTAACAAACAGATAGGAAGAACCATGTCCTAAGATACTATAGTTAACACATTCTGTGCTTGCAGATGCAGATATAATTCTGGAACACCCTTGTGTCCTACAGTCAGCTGTAGGTCTCAATAAGTGAAGACTGCTTACCATTTTCCCTCAGTTTCCACTGTGCTTCCAGAAGAGCGGCAAAGGAAAATAATGAAAGTAAGACAAATAG